ACTGACTGACTGACTGACTGACTGACTGACTGACTGACTGACTGACTGACTGACTGACTGGCTAACTGACTGAATGAATGAATGAATGAACAAAAGAACGAAAGAACGAACGAACGAATGAATAAGTGAGTGAAGGAATAAATAAATGAATGAAAAACAGATGGGCTTCGTGTTCTGTATTAAAAACACCATACGAAGGCGACATAAGGCTTACACTGTCACCTGGTGAGAAAATTTAAAAAAATATTTTTTTTAAACTATAATTTTGTTTAAAATTATGATTCATGTTTATATTTTATTATAAATAGGTAGAACTATAATATATAGGTTGAATAATATAATATATGTAATATGTAATTATGTAATATATGTATAATATAAATAAACTATGATAAATAGAACCATAGAAGCAACATGCAAGCTGGCTAAATGAATACCAGCTAAACGAATGAATGAATGAATGAATGAATGAATGAATGAATGAATGAATGAATGAATGAATGAATGAATAAATGAATGAATGAATGAATGAATGAATGAATAAATGAATGAATGAATGAATGAATGAATGAATGAATGAATGAATGAATGAATAAATGAATGAATGAATGAATGAATGAATGAATGTTTGCATAATAACTTAATAATTATGAATTAAATATAATAAATTATAGAATAATTATAATAAATTATAAAATATTTTATTTAAGCCATGCATCCGGAAATTCCTTTCGTCCCTGCCGGCTGCAGGTTTCCACGTAACTTCACCGGATATTACGAAGGTCAGGTGAATGAATGAATGAATGAATATGAATGAATGAATGAATGAATGAATGAATGAATAAATGAATGAATGAATGAATGAATGAATGAATGAAAGAAAGAAAGAATAAATGAATGAATGGGTGAATGAGTGAATGAGTGAACAAACGAATGAATGATGTATAAATAACAGATCGATTGATTAAATGATTGAATGAATGAATGAATACTGAATATTGATTGAATGAATGAATAATCATTGATTGACTGATCGATAGAATGATTGAGAATGATTGACACCAAGGTGACTATGAACCGGACTCATTCGTCACCATAAACTCTACCCACATCTACGTCATCACCATCATCAACCAATACGAATTCATGGAATCCTACTTTGTGTGCTTGCAAAATGTCGATTCGCGCTATCTTACGTACAGCTATGACGTCGGTAAATGGTTAGTTGCTGTGCATTTGACGTACTACAAAACCACCGAGCCACTCAACCAACCAACTATCCATCCAACCAACCAACCAACCAACTATCCATCCAACCAACCATCCAACCAACTATTCAATCAACCTGCCAACTAGCTAACCAATCAATCATTCAATAAATTAACCAACTAACTAACCAACTATTCAATCAACCTGCCAACTAACTAACCAATTGACCAACCAATCATTCAACCAATCAACAAAAAAGTTAACCAGCCATCCATTCAATCAATCAACCAACCAACTAACAAACTGTTCAAGCAACCTGCCAACAAGCTAACCAACCAACCAGCCATTCATTCATTTAACCAATCAACCAAATAGTCAACCAACCATCCAATCAAACCAACCAACTAACCAACTATTTAATCAAACTAGCTAACCAACCAACTAACCAATCATTCATTTAACCAATCAACCAAATAGTCAACCAACCATCCAATCAAACCAACCAACTAACCAACTATTCAATCAAACTAGCTAACCAACCAACTAACCAATCATTCATTCAACCAATCAACCAAATAGTCAACCATTCAACCATCCAATCAATCATCCATCCAACCAATCAATCAGCGAGACTTTCTTTTTCTGCTACGATTTCCTCCCTAGACGGCATAACATTGTCAGATTCAGACTGGGTTGGTTTCTCGGTTAACGTTTTGACATGCTTTTATAATAAATTTT